GAGAGAGAGAGAGAGAGAGAGAGAGAGAGAGAGAGAGAGAGAGAGAGAGAGAGAGAGAGAGAGAGAGAGAGAGAGAGAGAGAGAGAGTGGGCAGCATGAGCCTCCCCCAGTGATCCTCTTCCGCCATCCACGACCTCTGCCTGCTCCATGCTCCGCCTGCCTTGTGCCTCCTTTTTCCTCGAGCAATCTTTCTCTTCCAAGAGAGAATAGCGGTCCTGGCTGCTGGATCTAGATCTGTTTGGCGTAGAGTTCAGCGCTCCCTAAGCAGATTTAGAATTGCAGGGTATCAGTTGTTGGCCAGTCTTTGCTGCTTAATCACAACCGGGGTTAAGGTTGATTATCACTTATAGTATCGTTGGTTAGGGGGATCCGCAGACTGTAGAGGAGGGTCGGCCTCCTGCTAGTGAGTGAACTCCAAGAAACTGTCTGTCACAGTCCCTTGCTTGTTGTCCTCTCCCTCTGACGAGAAACTGTCTGTCACAGTCACTCACTTGTTGTCCTCTCCCTCTGATGAGAGCCCCTTTCTTGATACTGCGTGTTTTGTTTCGGGTGTCAGGAAGAATGTAAAGGGTTGCGGATCAAGAAAAGGACGGTGGAAAATGAGGGGGAGGCAAATGTGGAAGGCGGTGAGAAGAAGCATCAGTGAATGAGTAGGAGTAGTGGGAAGAAGTAGCAAGTCCCAATGGATTGTTCAATTTTCCCCCACCGTAAATAAATCAAGTCCATTTCGTTTTGTCTGTTGTTTTTTGAGATGTTGTCCACGAATTCACACTAATTAATGCTATGCTTCTCCATCTTGAATTGTGTTATGTGCGCAGGACAATGGAAGGGGAATGCCGCATGACGAAATTCCTAACATGCTTGGGCGGGGTAAGTCTGTCTGTTCTGTGGGTGAAATTTGTGCCAGTGTGACCCAAGGAAACATGTTTGTGCTCAACTTTTTTTTAAAATTTTGTAAACGGCTTTGGCGACGCAGAAACTCCTTTTACTACACCCCTGGAACAGGTTCAATAATTCTCTTTTGCGTTTTCTTTTTTTTTTCTTAATTTTGAATTGCTGTTTTGAGGTTGCTGGAGTGTGGTTTCAGCATGTCTTTCGTAGTTAGTATTAGCGGATATGGCACTTTTCCACCTTCTGTTGGCCAGGCTACATTGTGACTATGTTTGTTCTCAGACAGGATGAACACAGTTGTAAATATGACCAGGTTCGCATTGAGTAGTCTCTTTAGCAGCCTAAATAGTCTCTTGAGCAGGGTAACCAGGCAATTAGTTGGTGCCTGGCTTTCGTTGCACTGTTCCATGTTCTTTTTGTGATGTTGGGCTCTACTCCCTAACCTGCATAAAATCATTTCTTGTGGGGCCAGGTCGTAGACAGGGTTTGTTTTGTGTACTCTGTGTAAGCAGGCCCTAGTGTAGCATGTCGCGGGGAGAGTACCAGTTAACCACACTCCGAATGAAGAAAAAGGCTCATGGAAACAATAGAAAGACCAGACCTGTAATTTGACTCTATGGGGTTGGCAAGAGTGTGTGTGTGTG